ACTTGTGCTCCTGATTCTGCCTTCCATACCTTCATGTTCCCTGACAGGCCACATTTTTTAAAGGGTGCCTTACCAAAGTGGCCACTTGGGGTCACTATGACCTTGTCCAAAGGAGTCTGAACTTGATCTTGTCCAGGCCCCTAGACCCTTAGCCCATACCTCTCCCAGTCAGAAGTGCCCAAGGACAAGCACTGATGATGGTGTTTGCACCAACATGGAAGGGGAGTACAGACAGGGTGGAGAGGACACAAATGCCTTGGGCGCTGTTGATTTGATAGCTGTCCTCCCTTTGAAGTCTCAAATTCCTCCATGGGAAATCTCCCCCTAAATAATATATCCACACATATATCCTATAGAGCCTACTTTCCCATCTCTGGACCCACATCTGGTTCCTGAGGAAAAATGAGGTAAGCCTCCATCCAAAGTTCCCTGCCAATAAGAAGCTGTGAAGAAGGCTAGTCGTACTGATGAGGCATGCTTGCAGATACTAGCTATATATGTGTGTGCTGTATGAGTGTGAATGCAGATGTGTATTTGTGTATATATGTACAGAGCATCAGCAGGCTGGCTAGGAAGGACTTGTGAGGAATCATGGAGACCAGCTCCTTTCACTTTGTCTCCTGGCCACAGTGTCCAGGAGGAAAAGAGAGGCTTGGGGAAGATGCCCAGGGCCAAGAGCCTATTCCTTTATGACTGAGTATGCCTTTTTGCCTTTCTGAGAACAGAGCAGAGGAGTCACCTCAGACACAAAGACCAGAGCACTTATTATTATTATTACTTTATTATTATTATTATTATTAATTTTCCATTAGTCTCTAGCAGGAAGACATTCCTTTGACCTCATCCCAGTCAAGAACCCAGAATCTCCTTCCCCTCTTCTGTTTTTCTCTCCCTTCCTCCCTCCTTCCCTTCCTCCACCAGGAGTAGGCTTGTGCTCTCAGTCTTTTCAGAGTGTCAGGGTCTAACCTGGAGGCCCTAATGAGCCTGTAAATCTGTTGTGCTTTGGGACCCTGTGGAGGAGGCTCTAGACATAAAACATTGACCAAGCAGAGACTATAGAGACTCAAAGGCTGAGCCTAAAAGAAACAACCTAGCCTTTAAGATCCAGAAGCCACTCAAGCAAGGAAAAGCAAAAAAACACTGCAGATGCATCGTAAGATATTTCAAAGCAAACTTGTGTCCCAGAGGGAACTCTCTGGGCATTGCCTCACAGAGAGTAATGAGAGATTGTCTGGGATTCTAGACCTAAGCCTGGGTTCTGTGCTGTAATGAGCAAAGCTCATGGAAAGGGGACTGATAGGTATGGACTTCATGTGGGCCGTTTAAATGACTCAGAACCCTCAAAGCCAAGAAGGTCCTGGGTTTCAGAGCAAAAGGGTCATGGTAACTTCAGACACAAGAGCTTCTGCCAAGAAGAGTAAATATAGGTACTACTGCTTCCTATGGTAGCAATCACCTATGAAACTAAAGGAGGTCTAAAGGTGTGCAAGGGAAAGCCCAAACTGTGGTGGGTCTAGGGCTGAACTTTGTGGAGAGGCAGACATTAAACTCCAATGGCTAATGTGCAATCAGTGTGATCCGGGTTCCAAATGCAGTACTTACACACAATGGCGCATATGGTTTTATGTAATACCCTTGACAGCTCTGTGGTAGATATCAGGAAGCTGAACAACAGAAAATGTAGGAAACCTGGTAAAAGATGCATGGCCGTGAAGCTGTGCACCTCCAAACTGAGTAGGGTGGCATCAAAAGCCATGCTCTAAAAGAGTGCTCTATTTCTTCCAATGTGTATGTGCCCATGTGTCCCCAAGCTTCCTGAGGCTCTGAAATATAGACTGTGACTCAGTGGGTCAGGCAGAAAAGCCTCTAACATTCACTCAGTGACACCTCTGTAGCTGGGGCCCGTATCCATTTAGGGCATCACGCTGATCAGGAGGTCATCCTAAATCAGCTAACAGACCTCAGCATCTCCTTTCTCTCTCACTATCATTTACTTTCAGTTCCCTGTTAGCAGCGCTAACTGGAACTCATTAAAGAGTCAGCGGGGACGGAGGACCCCAGTGAAACAAGACCTTCTGAACCAACACGATCGAGGCTCAGAGGACCTCACAGAGACTGAGGCAGCATGCACAGGGCCTTCACGTGTGTGCACCAGGACTCTGTGCAAGCTTCCAGTTTAGTGTTCTTCTGTGATTCCTGAGTGTGCCAATGAGTGTGTCTCTTGTGTCTTCCTTCTCTTGGGTTCTTTTCCTTATGTTTGTCTCATCCCACTCCAGTGTGATAGGTTTTGTTTATATCTTATTCTAATTTGTTATATTTTATTATTTAAAAAGAATAAAAACATTAAATATACGACTCTCATGATGGCTTTACGGGGTGAGTGGTGTCGCTTACACATAGAGATTAAGAGCCTTGGAAAGGGGGTCAGCTGCCCCAGGCTCATGGAAAGTGATGAGTCTGGGTTCAAGTCAAATAAGAGGTCTCTGGAGGCCCACACAGGGCATAGAAGCTGAGAAATTCCTCTTCAGGGCCCAAGTAAGGCAATGAATGGGAAGATACAGTTATTTAGAACTGGGATCAATCATTTCCCCCTTCCCTCTTCTCTCCTTCCTGGGCCTGTCTTCCCCAGATACTTCAGTAAGAGAACAGTAAACCTTGGACGGTCTCAGCGTAGACATGTACTCTACTTGGCTTCCTTATATGACTATAATCTCTCCTTATATCATGCAGTGGTTTGCATTTATAAATTTCTCAGTAGTGAATTCCCTAGGACAATTATAGGAGATGCACATTACACATACATATATACATGTGTGTAACATATATAAGCACTACTCAAACATAAAATGTCAACCTGTTTGAGCCCTTTACTCAGTAATAAATCTCCATGGCTCTACAGTGTTTCAGGACTTAAATTTGGATATTCCTTTACATTCTACTTCTGTAGTGGCAGCAGCTGACAGGGAAGGAAGGCCTGCACAGTGGGTTCAGAAGCTGCTCTGAGTCACCATGTCCCTTGTCCCTTGCTACTGTTGTAAACTTGTACAAGCTTCCAGAATCTCTGAGCCTTGGCTTTCTCATCTAGATGATGGGAATGCTCACAGCTGCAAATATGTGGTATGAGACAGGTATCAATGAACACAAAGTCTTCTCTCTCCACCCCACCATAGTGGGGAATAATCACTACGCTGTGGCTGGTTCTCTATGATTTTACAGGGTAGCTTCTATCCAGACAATTAGCCATCATTTTTTTAAAACTATTACTTGACGAATCATCCTGTAGCTGTAGGCAGAGATGTGTTGCTTCCTCTTGTATCATTTGGTTTTTTATTGAAGGATTTTTTTTTTAAATAAATGTCACCAGTTCTCAGCAAGGCCCTTGTACCAGCTTGCGGTCCCTTCTGTGCCTAATTCCCTCTTGCTAGCTTGCTTTGTCAGCATATTTCCCATCTCCTTGTTGTGTTTCTGGTTGTGTATCTGTTTGGAAAAGGTGTTCTTTAATATCTACTTTAACTAGCTTCATTTGGCAAGGAGATCTGGGAGTTCAGCTCAGGAAGAAAAAGGCTTTGATCATACTGTTCTCGTTTACTGTGCTCGCTCTTGCTGAGCACTCCTGGACTAGGAAGATAGCAAATGCTTTTGTAAGTTAAGACATAAATTAGATAAAGTCTGTGGGCTCATGGACAGCTCTGGACCAAAGCACTTTGTGCAGTTCATTTGTCATATGAAAAGCACATGGCACACTTCAAGCTCCCACCTTTTGGTGAAGTTCAGCAGGTCTGCTTTCTTGGATGGATGTGTTGTGGCATCAGGAGGAGCCATGACTGGGTCCCATTTCTTCTAAGGTCTGTTCCCAGCTCCCCAGCCCTAGTCATGCATTGTGGTGACCTAGGGTATGGCCCCATCCATACACCATCTTGCCTTCTCTGACATCACCGACAGATTCTTGCCAGTCTGTCTCAGCCTTGATCCCTGTCTGTACATACCTACTCATTGCACTGCCTTGCTTAAAGTCCCTTACCCAGCCAGCGTGATGCTTTTTGCTTATAATTTATCACTCTGGAGGCTGAGGCAGGTGGACCATGGATTAGAGGCCAGCCTAGGCTACACAGTAACACCCTGTCTTAGAAAGCAAGTAAGAAAATGCAAAACTACTTAAAGCCCCTTAATGGTTCCTTACTTTCTTCTACCACAGCTCAAACTCTTTATGGGATATAAAAAGAATGGCCAGGCTCTCACTTTAAGTTTTTGCAGCTTTATTCATTCACTTAGCCATTCATTTATCCAAAAAGTACTGATCTAGGATCCAGTACATGGTAGGTACTGCACTAACCCATGGATTCAAAAATGAACAAAACAAATGTGAACTGACTTTTATGGAGCTTTAGGTGCAGGATCAAGGTCAAACAGTCCTGTCCACATGTATCAGAATGGTGCAGAGAGGTGACTGTTTGACCTTGTTCTCATCAAGTAGCGTGTAAATTCTGCTGCTGAAAGAGAAGCTGGCATGAGCTAAGCAATGATAATGTCCTGGGGCAGGAGGCACAGTGTGGTTGAGAAAATGAAGGAAGCAGACCCATGGGCTAGGAGCACAGAGACCACCAGAGCATCAGGAGGAAGTGGCCTGGGGAGAGTAGAGAAAAGCAGGCTAGCCTCGGGGTTGTTCATCCTGAAGGCATTGCTAGATGCCTCAAATGTATACATAATATAATAGCATAATAAAAATGTGCTTTGAAAAATTATCCATTGTTGCTGGAATGAAGAGTAGATTAGATTGAGTTTTTTAAAAAGTAGATTATTGCCATGGTTAAAGCAAGAGATGAACCAAGTTTAGAATGATTGATAGCAGTGCCTGCAGGGATGTATTTGGTAGATACTTAACGTATTAAGTCAATAGTATTTGTGGGTGGAGTAGATATGAGATAAATAAGTTGAGGAGAGAGTGCTTTGAGGATACAGAGTCAATAAACATCCCAAGAGACACCAAACATCCTACTCACCCGTGAGGGTGGTCCTGGTAGTTGGACCAATGCCCTTGGGGACCAGCACTTCATGGTACTGCTCGCCCGCTAAGGTGCTGTACACAACCTTGTACTCCTGAGCTTCTGCCTCGCTGTTATCCCACTCAAGGTCAAGGCTAGTTGCTGTGCGGGAACCCACTCGCAAATTCTTGGGAGCATCAATCTCTAAAAGTAAACAAATATCACCACAATCACATGAAATTCCATACATTTATGGTACAGCTTGAATTCTAACCATCTTTGAGGTGAAAGCCACACCCCTGACCCTCTGCCTCATATCTGAATGAAAGCTGAAGATGGTGCTTCGTCTTTTGGTTCTACCACGACAAGTCCTTGAGTAGTTAGAGTATGGGCTTCGCAGTGAGGCCTCAGTGTGAACCAGTTCTGACACCCACAGTAATAGGATCACAGAAAAATCTTTCATGCTCTTAGAACTGAATGACCGTCTCCTAAAAATGGGGAAATAATCCAAGTTGCCATTCAGATTATATGACATACTTGACATGCACTTGACATGCACAGCATGACACCAGGTACAAAAGTCAGGTGTCTGAGTCTGGGGTGGCTTGTTATCTCTGACGAGCTTCCTGAATTCAACAGTATGGCACCTGAATGTGTCTTCTGGGCTTCCAAGAGTTCCCATGACTATGGGCATTTCCTCCCATAATCTCCAGGTTTCTCTCGCCCAGGGCTGACCACCTCCGCAGGCTCACTACAACTTGTAGTGTAACGCAAGGTTGTCTTGAAAGTCTCTCACTTAAGAAGTTCAAGATAGTTCCAGTTCTGGGGACTTGGATATAGCATTGGAATGGTTGTTGTTTGTTCTAAGTAGATTGTATCAATCTGCCACCACCAGGCAAGTAGCCTACCCCTATTTGTCCCCATGGAAGAAACTGCATCCATCTGAAATCAGAGGCTTCTGTTTTCTGATGTAAAGAGGGGGTGGGGTGGGGATGTCTTTGCAACTTAGTTTTCTGAGAAATTGGCCTTCATTCAATGTGTGCTATCATATGGGATGCTCTTCATTCTTGATGTCTTGTACGTTTTCTCTCTGGGGGCTGGATTGAGGGAGGAGCATGGGGGCAGACACATGGGAGCCTGATCTCATGCAGGAAGAAAGATCTGGCAGAGTCTAGGACCTGAACTGAGTCTGAACTTAACTTTTCTCTTTGCTGGGGCTGACGAAAGCAACTTAAGGAAGGAAGAGTTTGTTGTGGTTCACAGTTCTGGGGCACAGTGTAGGAGACAGCGGGTCCCTTTGTATCCATCTCCAACCAGCAAGCAGCAAGCATGAAGTCTGGACACTGACTCTCAGCTTGCTTTCTCCATCTGATGCATCCAGAACACCAGCCCATGGAATGTGTTTCTTATATTAATGGTGAGTCCCAACTCAGTTAACCTGATGTAGAAACTCCTTCATCCACATGCCCAGAAGTGCGTCTCCTCGGTGGTGCTAACCCCTGTCAAGTTGAGTATTAACAATTGCAGAGGTAAAGATGGGGCCCTATGCCTATACTTGGAGAAGTAAAAGTGGGGCCCTATGCCTATACTTGGAGAATGTTGTTTTCCGAGATTTTCTCTTTTCATGGGGCAGAGGGAACAATCTAATGGCCATGGACCTGTACTCTATGGGAAGAGGACAGTGTTTTATCAGAAAGGAATGGGTGTTTCCAACCTCGGTAACTATAAAAGAGCTAATTGCTAGAAAGAGGACTTGGGCAGTGAGTCTTAGAACTTGACTGAGATAAAAGCAATTCTCTCTGGGTCAGAGAGAGAGAACAACTGGAGGACATCCATGTAGATGGGACTTAGCCGGTTGCAGGTCTCTGAAACATGTCAGCTAAGACAGATGACTCATAGAGCCTTTCTGGAGGGCCTTGGGTCTGTGACCTCTAGCACTAGCCTGTCTAGTCTCAAGAATATTAGTTAGATCAGATTTTTCTTTGTTTAAAACGTTCTCTTGCTCAATGCTAAATGCTCCTTAATCGCAAGTGTGGGGGCCTAACTGAGTGCTGAGTGAGCAGACCATTTTAAACATTTATCTTCTTTTTTTATTCTTGGGACACATCAATTTGTATTCCAGGGTCTTTGAACAAGCTGCTACGTTTGCCTGAAATGTTCTGTATCTTGTGCATAGCTTAAGTCATGTAGCTCTTAGTGAGAATGGCACTTTCTCCAAGAGGTAGACCTCATCCATCGGAGCTCTCCTTCTGTCTTATCCACTTCACTCCCTATCTCAGAACTCATGGCTGACATGATCTGTCATGTTCCTTTTCCCTTTGCCACCCAGTTCTCCCCACTAGGGTGCCATTCGTGTGAAATAGGCTCTTATCTGTCTGCAGCCTCAGTGCTTAGAGCAGTGTCCGTGGGCCCAGGAGATGTTCAAAACGTACATGGTAAGTAATTGGACGTGTATCATCCACTTCTCAATCTTTTCATTCCCTCCAAGCCTTTAGAAATGACTTGTTAAATATTTTAGCTGTGGCCTGGAGTGAAGGGTGCAGGAAACAGAGCAACTGCGAGAAAGACAGCCTTGCAGAAGCAGGAATTCTCCGTCGTCCGTAACTAGTGTCTTGACTGAAGCGGCGAGGGCTTCCAGGTTGAACTTTGAAGTAACTTGGAGAATCCCAGAATGGAGTCACCGGTGAGAAGGGAGGGGAATGAAACTCTGGCTTGGATGTTTGCATTTGTTATCTGAGGCTGCCACACATGGCAGCCCAAGCTGGGGTCTGAGTAGGAAAGCAATGTCTGCAATCTTGAGATGCAGGTGCTGGCAGGGTGGCTTCCCTCTGAGAGCTGGGAGGGAGTCTGTTACATCTCTCAGCATCTTCTGAGTTTTCTGGCCATCTTGGGTATTCTCTGACTTATTTTCATATGGCATTCTCCTGGTGCATGTCCATCTCTGTCCTGCTTCCCCTCTTTGGTAAGGACACAGTTGTTGGATTAGAGCCCATCCCAATGCCTTCCCCTCAACTGGCCCATCAGCAAGGACCCTAGTTTCACATTTGAAAACCATACAGGGGGTGGGGGGGCAGGGCTTTAGTATCTTTTCAACCCATGAGAGCACTAAGTGTAAGCGAGGGTCATTCAGATCAGAGGCACTGGTGACTAAGGGCTCTTTGAGGACTTTGCTCAGAGTGAAGTCCTCCATGGTAAGTGAAACTGTTCCCAAAGTCTCTGTGAGGCTGCTGAAGTGGGAGGGGACTCTGGGTTTCCTAGTCTGGCTTCCTTCTAATCCCTGGCCCTGGTGTGCTTCTGCCATGGTCTCTGTTTTCAGAGCAGCTCTACGACCCAGACTAACTTCCTATTCACCATGCAGGAAGCAAATCTCAGTTTTAATTGCCTGTGCAATTAGTGCGCTCCTAGTGTCGAAACCATCACCTGGAAAAACACTTTACTTAATTTGAATTTAAGCGGAATTCTGAAACGACTGAGGGCCCTACTGTGAGGGTCTGAATACCCTTTCATCATTCAACTGGCATCTGCCAACTCTGGACTTGGAGAATCTGTCTGCAAAGCCATTTGTGTCTTACCATCCCCGCTTCCCCCTCCCCTCTAGGAGCCTGAGAGAGCAGACATGGGTCTGAGACTCAGGCTGAAGGCTGCATGGAGAAGCAGCCACCTAACAGCTGCCAATCCACCAGGCAACCTGCAGCTCCTGCTGCAGTGAACAGAAATGCAGGGGGAGCTCTCTCCAAGGAGGCGGGATGTAATTGTCTTGATTGGAATTTTCCCGGGCCTGCAGCCAGCGCTGCTCCTTCTTGCCGACCTGAGCATCAAGAATTCACTTTTCATCACGCTGCTTGAGAGCGCCCCCCCCTTTTCTTGCCTCTTCAAACTCCTTATCAGAACAGAGCACAAAGAAACCACTTTCAAATACAAACTATCTTAAAATTAAGAGAAGAATGCTGAACATACGTGGCCCAGTGCAGATACCACCAGCCTGAGCAAGTCATGCTGCCTGTGAGGTGTGTGTGTGTGTGTGTGTGTGTGTGTGTGTGTGTGTGTGTGTGTGCATTAGAGGTTGACCACAGATTTTCATACCAAAAATGGATATTACAGGACCATCTTTTCTCATGCTCTTACATAAACATTCTTGCCTAAGTGGGGGAGAAAGGAAGAAAAATGAGAACAATTTGATTGTCTTTTCTAAGAAGTACACTTAGTCTTTGGAATCTCAAGATAGGTTTACTAAAGCAGCCTACTGGCTATTCCCCAGGCAATGAAATGAAGTCTGTACCAAGGATTGACAGAAAAACTTAGAGTATCTGGCGACTTTAGCCTGTCTCCTGAAGCTTGCCAGAGTCCATACGTTTCTTTTTATTTTATTAGATTTTTTTAAAAAAATATCAATCCAAGTTCCCACTCCTTCCCCTTCTCCCATTCCCTACACACACCCTCCCACCCCACCCCCAGCTAATCCTCAGAAAGGGTAAGGCACATTGCCTTGTGGATGGTCCAAGACCCTTCCTTTTATATCTAGGTTGGACAAAGTATACATCCAAAGAAAAGAGGATTACAAAAAAGCCAGTGCATGCAGTAGAGATAAATCCTGGTGCCACTGCCAGTGGCCCCTCAGTCTGCCCCAGCCATACAACTGTCAACCACATTCAGAGGAACTAGTTTGGTCCTATGCTTGTTCCTTCCAAGTCTGGCTTGAGTTGGTGAGTTCCCAGTAATTCAGGCAAACTGTTTCAGTGGGTGAACCCATCATGGCCTTCATCTCCTTGCTCATATTCTCATTCCTTCCACTCTGATCCCACCTAGGACCCTGGGCAATAGAGGAGAGGGGGCCCGATCTTGACTTGTCTTGTAGTCAGACTGATGATTATCTTAAATATTATCATAGAACCTTCATCCAGCAACTGATGGAGGCAGAGGCAGAGACCCACATTGAAGCACTGGACTGAACTCCCAAAGTCCAATTGAAGAGTCCATACATGTCTAAAGGGAAATTTACAAGTGCACTTTCTTGCTTCTATAGAGGAGTCCACTGTAAGACTCTTAGATGCACTGACTGGGGAAAATGGGCTTAAGTGGGGAGTTGTGAAGCAAAGCCTGGGCACTGAGAGTCCACACCCCTCTCTCATGGGACAGGCTGCCATAGTGGTCCAACTGCTCCCTATTCCTCCATAGTCTGAATTCTAACCTAAGTAGTCTAGGACGTCCCAATGGGTGGTCTAGCACAATCTTCCCCAGTAATTCAATTCGTTCAGTTCTCAAATCTGTCTACCTGTAACACTGATCCATCTGCTATACTTGAGGTCATATTTGGGGTGAGCATATATCCTACTGTTGTTCATCAATAATTCAAAGTCTAGGTAGAGAAGGTACTCTAATTATTGCATGTTCTTGGAGTCTTTGACTCACTCCATCTTGTAGCAGACTCTCAAGCTACAACCCAAGGTTGGACACGGAGATTCATGTTTCTTCAGAAGTCAATGGTTCTGAGATCTTCCATGTGTTAGCAGTTTTCTTTGATCCTTGGGACAGCTTGAAGCTGGCAGAAGCATTCCTTGACATGTAACCTCCCCAAGGACGAGAGGCCAAGACCAAAATTCTAGATTAACAGGGGCTCAGACTTTGTCCTGCGATCAGGCCCTTGCTTGACCCAAGCAGGAAGCCTGACCTTGAAGTAGGGCCTGTTGTTCTTACCCACTGACTGGTCAGGCTGCTGGACTCCAAGTCAGGAAGTGAGTCACTCTGAGGCTTGGCTTTTCTGATTATTGCTAAGTTCGAGGAAGCTCTCTTGTGGGCATCATTGCAAGATCGAAAAAAATTATAATGGGTTTAGCTCAGTTTCCTATCCATGGTTGTGTCTCAGGGACCTCAGCTGGAAGGTTTGCTGGTAGCTATGCAGGTTGTGCTTTGCACAAAACTGAGGTGTCTTCGTGGTAATGACGTCACTTCAGGCTTAGAGAATTTCTAGTTTCCAGTAAATGGCAGTGAAGTGTCTTAAAAAAGAGACACCTTCTCTGAACTCTCACAGATTTGTCATTTAGGCCAATAACATGGATATTCAAATGTCTTTGGGATAAGCTTAATACTTCTGAAAGGAAGGGAGTTATATTAAGTCACAGGTCTAGCTAGCAGAGTTAGGTTGAGAACTCAGCTCTCCTTACTTGGGGTGGGGGACTCTATTTTTCTTAATGCTGGAATAGCAATACCAGCAGGAGCCCCTGAAACCCCTAATTTGTTTCTTGTAGCCTCTGTATGAACAGGATTGCCTAGCACCATTTCATTTTTCTTTAATGTCCTCTGCCTGATAACATCATCATGTTGCCTCCCACCCCTGCCTTCTTCCCGTCCCAGTCTCACCTGTTGTAAATTGGGTACTTGTGGCATCGCTTTCATTGTTTCCTCGGACTGCACTGACTGAGACCTCATAGCGGGAGCCAGGTCTAAGGGCTTGCACTGAGTACTGGCTTAGGGGAGGCTGCAGCCGGAAGGTAGTCTTCCCGCCTTCTCCACCCACTAAGCCGTATTTCAAGAGAATGAAGTCAACTTTGGCTCGAGGTGGGGTCCACTCCACAAAGGCCACAGTGTCAGAGACATCTCGAACCAGGATCTGCGTGGGCCCATCAATGACTGCATGAGAAACAGAACACAATGTTAATCCAGAAGTAAGCTTTCTTTGGTATCTGTTTACCCCTTACATAATATACTAGCTTGTTCAGTGGGATGGGCTTCTTTGCCCCATTGTACTGATATGGGGGAATATGGTATAGTGGGTATTTGTTCAGTCCATGATATTGGGCTATCTGGGCCGACAGAAGTAGTGCTTCTTGTCTGCTAATATATATAATGTGACCTCTTATAAGGAAGGAGGGAAAGGGTCATGCTCTTCTTGGATAGTAATGACTGAGTCAGGCTGAGTGTGATCGGTTCCCAGCTATCCAAGGACTGTACAACTGGATTTATCATATCCTGTATTCATGAGTGTATTTCCTCCTTTCATATCTTAATAAATCCTTGATACCCCTTAAACAGATGCATGTGGATTTCTCTTAATGAGTGCCGCCCAACATGGGACTCAAACCCACAATCTTGAGATTAGGAGTCTCATGCTCTATTGACTGAGCTAGCAGGGCACTCTGTTTAAGGCATATCAAGGATTTATTAAGATATGAAAGGGGGAAATATACTCACAGAATACAGGATATGGTAAGTCCAGTTGCAGAGTCCTTGGAAAGGGAGAACTGATCACATGTCACCCCCACTTCAGGCAGCCTGACTCAGTCTTCACCACCCAAGAGAGAACAGGACCCTCTCGCTCCTTCTTTATAAGAGATCACATTGGCAGACAAGAAGCACCACCTCTGTCAGGCCAGATAGCCCAAGGTCATGGGCGGAGTGAATTACCATATGGGATATAGAAAGAAGTCTCCTCTATGAGCAAACATTTGCTGGCACCAAGGACAATGATAATCAGTTTTCCTGGGGACTTGGTCTCTTTCTCCATTCATTGACTATAGGTTTCAGGTGCTGGTATTTCTCAATCTGGGCAGGGGAAGGTGACCTATTTCTTTCAGAGGTGATGACACAGGAGGAGAGAAGAAACTTCTGCCTATTGCCCAGCTCTTTCCTTCACTGAGCCCAGAGGAAAACTCAATGAGATAATGGAGATAAATGAGACCCAGACTTGTTTGCCAAAAGTCTCATCATGAGTATTCACAAGTTATTCCTATCTGGCTTTATTCAGCCTGGCCAACCAGGCTGGCATTTGCATATGTAGACATGAAACATGGCATTCAGGAAAATGTGCTCATCTGAGTACAAAGAACTCTAACTCTAGAGTGGTTTTTGTAAGCCAACCTCCACCCTGCGTACATCCTCCCCACCTAACAAGTGCCTATGTGTTTCTGAGCCTGAGGATGCTGGATACAAAAGGTACCCCAAGTTCTCTGGCACTAGACATTGACTCTAGAATTAGCCTGTGTAGATCCAGGGCTGATGTGGTGATTCTCTACCACACTTATGGGTAAATAGGGAATATTTGATGTAGGGGTGAGTAGTGAAGAGCTAAAGAAGGGAGTGGGGAGGAGAGGGAGGCACAGGTACATAGATAGATAAGCAGAAATAAGTGACCATGTGAGCTTATGAAAAGAGATATAGAGTAACTCAATTTCTTAGATTCCATTTTATGGTTAAAATCTTTTATGAGGCTCAGGTATGTTTCTGGTCCTGGGCTTCTAGGAAACGAGCTATGTCCCTTCCAGTAAATTTTCTTTTGCTTCAGTTTAAGTAAGCTTCCATAGATTCTTCTGAAATCTTGGGCTAAGATTTTATTTTTAAATCAGTAGAAACTGGGCACTTTAATCTGTCTCTAGTGTGGTTGTCTCTATCAGGACTACCACAGGCTAACCTCGAATTCCTCAACTTTGCAAAGCTGGAACATTTGCTGGGTACCCCACTCTCAGCCCACTGCTGTGTCCTATTAAGCAGCTTAGGACTTTTGGTCTACTATCAGCTAAAATGAAAATCGCTAGGCTATTTTGGTATTACCTGGTTTGGAATTAAAATGAATTTCAACTTTTCGTACTTGAGGTAGTCATGTGTTTAAAAAGAAAATAGCCATACAGTTTCTTTGCAGAATGCCACAGCTTTAGGTACCTCAGACCTTTGGTATTTCACTTAATTTAATTACGGGGTGGCCAAATGCCCTCCTAGCTATGGCGTAAGTTCGCTGTCTGAAGACACTCACGGAGTGCTGAGTGAATGAACGGAATTGATGAGCCTCTTCACCCATGAGAACAGGGTAGGAGAGCATTTCATTGAACTGGAGCTTTTTGAGAGAAAAAAAATGCCATCAGAGGAAATCAGATAACCATGTAAAGCTTTTGTCCTTCAACTCTTTAGATCCAAAAACCCTAATCATAATGGATTGGCCATATTAGAATGTGATTATGTAGCTCTGAGGGCGTTAGCTGCAGGAGGTCTTGTATTTGCATTCATAAAATGGCCTGCCCTGAAAAAGCCAGTCTCAGTGCAGACTAGGACTCAGAGCTTCACAGGAGGGGGTCGGTGTAGGTCAGAGCTTGGCAGAAGGAAAAGAATCAAATGATTGTTTCCTAAGAGGGGCAGACAGGGATGGGAGTCAGCTGTCTTTCCTGCTGCACCTTGGATTCTGCCCTTCGTTGGTCAATTGGTCGTAATGTCCTGTTCCAATCAAGGCTCTAGCAGCTTGCTTTCAATTTTAGCACTAATTTCTAAATGAATACAAGTCCTTTCAAAAACTGGAATGCATGTGTTTTTTTCTTGTTTTTCTTTTTTACTTTTTTTTTTAATAACTTTGTCCATGATACAGCTCCATTGAATAGGACTTTTCTTAATTGAAAGCTGCCTAGCTTTCCCATGGTTTTCTAAATCCAGAATTTTCCTTTGAATTTTAAGGAATCTTCAAAAAATACTTCAAATTTTATTTCAAAAAATGGTTTGGCTATAAGACCAAGGAAGGGTTGGATTGCTTTTTTAAGTGCCCTCGATACTCTGAAAGTGAGCTATTCAACTGCAATGATCTTTCTCCTCTTCAGAACCATCTTGCCAGCCTTTTTACCTGCTTTCTTAATGTCAGTCATAGGAATGCTCTGGAGATACTCCATGTCAGAAGGGACTAACTAATGTCTGTTAACAGGAGCCCAGTCTTCAGAGTCCAGCATAACCTTGAGGAACAAACTTGTGCCTTTGACCTTCTGGAGAGTCTTCCAGAGCACCGAGGCTTTGTGTGCATAGAGTTTCTTCTAAAGTTCACTGGATTATAACAGTGTTTTAATGAGTCTTCTCCCCATAATGAAACTCTGTTGGGTTTTTTTTGGGGGGGTTGTTGTTGTTTAAATCTTAAATGGATGCACAAAATACAAAACAGGTCAAAGCAGGACTTCCCAAGCTGGCAGTAACGGGAGAGAAGTAATTAGAAGTGTGGATCTCCCCCACCCCCATCCTGACATTGAGACATAGCTCTGGAACCTTGGTGCACCAATGCAATACAAGCTAATACCAAAAAGGGGGGGGGGTTTGCTCGAATTTTTCTAGACTGAGCCTAAGTCTCAGAACCTGATGCTATTATTAGTTTGGATATGAATATCTAAGTTTGAACCATTAATACACAAACATTGCTTTATTGCTTAGTGCTGTAATTCCCTTTTCTATCCTTTTATTTTGGACTTACAGCTGGCTTTCTAGAATGTTGATTTCTGTTGATGAAAAAGAAAACTGTATTAGTATTCACCTAGCTCAGTTTTTGCTGCTAACAGGGAAAGTTGCTGAAACTCTACATCTCGGCTTCTTCCCCATCGATAAATGAGAGCCCCCAAATGATACCAGACAGTACTTATCAATTTTGAGCAACTCTGAGGAGTCACACACATGCCTATCACAGTGGCTAAATTACAGCAATCAGATTAAACATCCTTTGCCAGCTAAGAGTACAATAAGGCAAAATATGACATGACTAATGAACTGATCTTGAAAATATAATGATTCCGAGTGAGATAAACTGTGGGCACAAAATAATAACTTGAGACATCGTTTTGATCAGTGACAACTCTACCTACTGGTTTCTGCCTCATGCTGCCTTTACTTCTAGCATGCGTTGTGTGCATATATGTGTATACTAAGTATTAAGCACTGATCAGTATAGTGGTAATTATATTGTGTACTATATTTAATCTAATCCTCAACTTAATAGAGAAGGTGTTATAAAACAGATGGAGGTTTAGAAAGGTTCAGCTGAATTTCTTCAAGTCTTAAGTAGGTGAGAATGACTTGGCTCTTGCTGGTTTCAAAGTTTATCACAATAGGAGGTTGATGAATGAGGCTTCTCAATGAGTGAGATCAGTAAAACATACTGGAACTACTAAGAGGATTTCCTCAGTGGAACAGTTTCCCAGGTTTCTGTGCTCACAAAGATGAGCACCAAGGGATACGATCTGCTAAGTGACTGGCAGAGTATGTCCCTTTTGAAGTCCCTACATCATTTCAGCTCTGCGATGAATCCTAGCATCTTTCTTACCTATCCATCCCTCACAGTGCTTTGGCCAGCCATGGAAAGAGTTGGAGGCACTTACCCGTAGAGACGCTGGCGGAGGTAGGGAGGCTCCGGGCTTGTTCCTTCAGAGCCACAACATTCACAATGTACTCCTCTCCGGGTTTCAGCCCTGTCTGGTTGAAGGAGGTAACGTCGCTGGGAAGCTGAGCTATCACCCCTCCTTCATTGTTCTGGAGAGTAGGGCAAGAGAGTGATCAGAGGGGTCACTGGGGAATTCATATGATGAGAAAAAGATAAAGGAGCAGGATGCTAATTGTGCACATTGACATTAAAAAGAAGACTACATCTGTTCCCTACACACTAGCAGCCAACTGCTTGGGACCAGGAACATACCTAACAGGCTCAAAAGAACCAGTTTTCAAGGATATTTCTTTGGCCTGTGCTGACTTTTCTGAGCTTGCCCACACCCCCAAACCTAGTCATGCAATAATTCAGATTAACTCTTGTCAAAGACTTAATGTTTGATGGTCGTGATCAATGTCCATAAGATTTTTGGCACCTATTGTAATGAATATGTCCTTAGCTGTTTATAATAATACACTTGCCTGGGTATGTAATATTACTGACCAGGACATAATCAGATAGTTTTAAAACTCAGGATTGTCTCACTCTGTTTTCTTTCTCATGGTGCCACCTTGGTTGCCCATCTGTCACCATCATGTTTTCCCTTCACTCACACCATGTAGAAATAGGAAGGAGAGAGAAAGCAGACACATGTGGAAAAGGAAACGTGAAAAAGCAGTTTCATGATGTTAGGTCCAGGATTTTCAACTTTAATCTACCAATCATGTCTGTCTGTCTGTCTGTCTGTCTGTCTGTCTATCTATCATCTACCGAGCTCCATCCTTCTATCTATCTATTTTTCTAATGTGTGCTTTGGAAATAGCAGAGGCAGAGGTCCTTTTTGTAACCCTGCCATTCTTATGTGTTCTTTGTTCTCTATTTATGTCACCTGGGTGTTCCATATATAACTTATAGCCATGCTCTTATAAATCAATATGATGGATGTTCCCTTCCAGTGGCTTCAACCTATATATTACGGCATATAGTCCATGCAGCCATGTATTTGATCTTGGCTTGCCCTGACTAGCTCATCTCTCATTCAAAGTTTTATAGATTATGTGCAGAACAGAACATCACAGTTATTTTTTTTCCCTGCCTGAACAGCAGGATGACATGATTCTTCCTGCCTTGTTATAAACCCAGTTGCTTGCAATTCTTTCTTGGCCATTTAAATCAGGCAAGGCATATCCTAACAGATTTGTGTAGAGCATCTGTTTAGGTGTCTTTAGCTTGCTGTGACTAAATCCACATAAGGGTGTGAGGGCTCTGGAGCAGAGCCCGAGATCCAGGGTTTTGTCTTCAACCTGGCAGGTGATGTCACTTAAGATCCCTGAGTTTTGGTGTCCTTTGACTAAGCAAAACTAAATGTAAAATGAAGGCTCACATTCCGTTTGCTTGCGGGTCTTTTGTCGCTACAACAGTCAAGGCTCCAGGAATTCTGGAGTAAAAGAGCAGTAAAACCACAGTCCTGTTAGCCAAAAACGTGTCAGCTGTCATTAGGGCTGATGAATGACTCAAAAAATGCTTTTTGATGGTGAAGGATGAAGACAGAGGAAAGGAGTGTGCTGCACCCGTATCCATGAGCGATGCTTGGGGAGAGCGTGAGCAGAGCCAGCAAAGGCTAGAAAGTGGAGCAGCACTGCGGCTTGCAGACAGTCCCGGACTCACTAGATCAAACACTGCTCTAAAGGCCACGTAGGACTCTCAGGGTACTTCTAACTCCCAAGTTATAATAATGAATTTGTCTAAGGAAAAACTTGCTGAATGGATTATAAATTCATTTTGATTAATTCAGGAAAACCAAGACATGTTTTATAGCTCTAATTTCAGAGGTTGAAGGCCACGAGCTAACTTTTTAACTTTTTCTGTATCTATCTGTAGGCCGACTGTGTGACCGGTTCCATCTGTCTGTTCTTTTGTGCAAAGTGGAGGACTCGACCCTTTGAAGGCTTGGTTTTCAGGCTCACTACAAGCATGGCTCTCCAAACACTGGTGTTCCCTCCGCAGACAACTGGATCCTGGCACTACCTCCCACATGTCCCATCATCCAAGGCCCGGAGCTGAGCTCAGGTTGTATTTGTTGGGCAGCCCTCTGGCCTTTGTGAGGGCAATGCCCTGTAGCCCAGACACAGCATTTCTCCCTGTGTCTTCAGTGGCTTTGGAAGTTACGTCAGTTAGTACCCTCCTGCTGCCCCCAAATCTAAGTTGAGGATAGGGATATACCGAATCAGGCTTGTTTAAGTGAGCTTAGAGTTGTGTTACCTTTGGAATGAAGCTGATCTCCCACCCATCGAAGGGGAATGAGAAGGGCTCCCACTGCACCTCCACGGTGGTCTCTGTGATCGTCTTGAACTGTAGCCCTTGAGGAGTGGAGACATCTGGAACACAGCAATGTGGGTGGCAATGTCACGGCCATCCCTGGCAGGGGCAGTGACCGCTTCCTGGTGCTTTGTCTTGTGACCTCCCTTGGTGTCCTGGGTGAGGAGAGGTGTGGTGGGCAAACCCAATCCTGCTGTAGACAGAGGCTCAGTGGCAGGGTCAGCACGCTGTCGTGTGGCCCTGGTGCTCGGTGTGTGCAAATACATGAGCAAACTTAACACCTGTTATCATTAGTTTTGTGCTTTCTATTACATAATAGAAAACGTAAACATTAAAAAATTTAAAATCGTGTTTTCTTTTCCTGACTCATGTGGTAGATCCTGGCATCGAATAAAAATCCTTTCTCAGAGGACTTGTGTAGAAACCATGCAGGTTTCCTGGGAGGCAAGATAGCAGCCGGTATTGGTGTTCCTATTTTATACCCAGGAAAAGGGAGGCACAGGGGAGACTGGCCAGCTTGGGAATAAAACTGAATGCTTTCCATGAGTATCTGAGGTGCAAAGAAAGTATGGAGACTCAAACCACTACAGCTTGGATGGTCAGAATCTGCCACTTTGTATTTTCAAAGAAAGCACAGGCATAAACAGTGTTGTTCCCATTTCCTCTTCTCTAAACTCCCTCCTGTTCGCTCTTCTCTTGCTACCTTTGCCTCACGTCTCTGGTTTTGCTTTGACTGATCACTCTCTTTTTCTCTCCGTTCCCCATCCCCAACACGCACACACACACACACACATACATATACACAGGTTTAGTGAGGTGGAAATATGTTTGTCCTGATGGAGTTCCAGTCACCAGCCCTGAAATACAGCAGTGTGACTTTTCACAGTTCTCTAGGAAGCCTGCTCCCATGTCCATGTTGCTTCTCAGGCTATTCCCCCTGGAAAATGACAGATTTTTGTTTTATTTTATTTTATTTTATTTTATTTTACTTTATTTTTTCCTGTGGAGAAGCTTCTTTTGCTCCTTGGTGGAAAGGCAGGGCCAGTTCTGAAGTCACGTGAAGGAATAACAGGTGAGTTTACATGACTCTGTCTTTGTCACCTAGGAATGAGCCTGAGGGGATGCCCTGAATTGGCACAGTAAATGCCACCAGAGGTGGAAACCGTATCAGGACATGGGTGTGGATCAGAAAGGAGCAGCTTCTGGATCCGCCAGGCACTCCAGGGGTTGACTCATCCCCCAGAACAGTGGAAAAAGCAGCAGATGGTGACCTGCCTCTACAAAATCACTAAAGATATTTAAAACTAGTTCTCAGGCACCAGATATTTTTTAAGAGTCGAATATAAACAGATAATTATAGGCAGATTAACACACTCAACATTTATGGAGGAGGCCAATAGTATCAAAAGACTTTAGTCACCTACAAATGGGGCAAAGTGACTTTCTTAAACTTTTGTCCCTGTCTTTGCATCTTTCTAATTTCAGTCTTTGACCTCTTTGAGGTCCTCGAGACCAACTCTTTTATCTTGACATTTCCTTTTTCTGAATTTTTCTGGCATTTGTTATCCAAATGCCATTTGTCATTTGAGACCCACATAAAAATGGGCTCAAATCTTTTCTTCCCTATTTGGTCATAAATTCTCTTTACAGACCCCAAGGACTTTCTGTATTCTAAGGGTCCCTGTTTCCATGGCCACGGTCTTGTTCCAGTCTCTTCTTTCAGCCCTCATCCTTCAGGTGTTCTCTGTGTAGAATTGAGTAAGGCGCAGCCCCTTTCCATTGATGTCTCTATGAGGTGTCCAGGCATCTGTTCGTCCAGATTCTGCATTGGATTTGGGGCAGCGCAAATGCAGGCTTCTGCCCAACTACTGGAAATTTCTTTCAGGAGATTGCTCGTCTTAGTTTCAGAAAGTTGAAAGTAATACAAACACTTTGTAATTATTTAAGAATTGAGAAGTATAAAGGAACAGTGTAGGAAAAGAAACAGTGTTTCTTTTCTCATTCTTTTTTTGGGCAGATTCAGTATTAACACTTGGTAAGCTATCTCTCATCTCATCTTTTTCTATGATGAACGATGCATATACAGAACATAGATACGGATCTGGAGGAGGTCTTCCTTGTTCTAAAGAAACAACAAAGACTTTCCAGAGATTATGCATCACGGAGACAGCTCAGCTTGCTTTCTCTCTGTGTCTTTACTATCACTCTCCACTGCAGTTTTCTGAATTCTCTTCTAGAAACTCAACTTCTATTACTAAAGTGACTATCAAGATATTTTGCTAAAATAAGAAGTTGTGAAGAAATTATGCCACTTATAGAAATAGACAGCTGTGACTTAAACTAATGTTATCATTGTTGTATTTTTCCTCACTGTTTAGTTCTTACCACATGTAACACTAGCACTTGTTTGTTATACTTCATCGCTGCTAGATTTGAGTCCTTTACTAGATTCAAAATCTGTATAAATCTCACACTTTGCTTGACTTCTACCAGAATCCAGCTTATAACACATCCAGTGCTCAGTAATTAAAGTGTTGTTTGTTTTAGAATTCATGGATGTTGCCTGAATTTGGAATCTCTCATAATCAGAAGTGCCTGTTTAATGGTGGGCCTTTTGTTTGTTAAAATGGGTCACTTCTAAAGCCTTTCCCTCAAGAGCAAATGATTGCAGGCATCCCTAAAGAACTAAGAAAAGACACTACAATCATGAATGCCCATGATCTCATGAAGGAGAAAACAAAAATGAAGCAGGACGGGGAAATGGTACGTACGAGTGGCCACCTTGGCAGTGATGGGAAGGCTGAGGATGTTGCTAATGACAGCGTAGACGCTGATGTTGTAGGTGAGACCTGGCTCCAGCTCCGTGATGGTGACACCACTCCAATCTCCAGGCACCCGCTGCTGGAGCTGGAGGCCCCCCAGGGCCATCGGCTGGTAAGAGATCACATATTCCGTCACTGCCATCGGCCCGTCCCATTCCAGCTCAATGGACCTGTCGCTGATACCAGCCACTCGCAAGTCCTCTGGAGGGGCAACTACCAGGAGGCAATACACAGACAGCATGAGCTCAGAGGATTGCCTGTCCCAGTTCGGACTCAACTTTCTTGCTCGCATCTTACCCCCTAATTACATGTCTGGAGTGCTCCATGGTTCCATGGTTCCATGGCTCCGTTCTCTACTGAAAGACGCCACATTCCACAAGGCCATCAGTGAATGTGGGGTTGGAGCTGGTCCCTTACTGCCTTGCGAAGGCTGACTGCTAAACTGCCAGGAATTCTGCCTGATTATTCACGGGTATTGTCATTGTTAAAGATGAAATGCTATGAAACAGTAATTAAGCAAATTGCATCTAAAAGATAATTATTTAAGACCTGTCACTTTAAAGTCATTTCACTGCATTTTACAATTAACTATGCCTGTAAGGTGACTTTTGTGTGTTGCATCTCTGGTAGGAATACTACATCACTGCGTCCTGTTTCCTATCTGATCCCAACCCCATGTTTAATGATGCCACATGAGCTGCTTGAAACTGGCCAAGGAGGTGTTTCCCCCATGGAAATTTGCAAAAGCTACAAGTGAGAGCTTACTAGTCTGTTTTCCTTCAGAGAGCCAGTTGTTAGATTTTTTTCACAGCACACTGTGACCAACTAAACAGTTTGGTAGTTTAATAAATTACGGCCGTCAAACTGTCCTGACAGCTAGGGTCTGATTTAGCAAGTGGAAATAAAGACTAATTCTTGTTTTTCCTACAAATTATAAGGAGCCAAAACAATATGTCCTGTATCTCACAGCCCATGAAGATGCTTAGAAATCCTTTATTATAGTACCCCTCCCCCTTTAAAAAGGACATTTAAGCTCTGAAGCGAATGTAACTTGTTTCAAACTAATTTTCATTAGCCTTGACCTTGGAGATGATGATCGGGGAGCATTCTTGAGAGCTTTGCTTTCCTCACTTGTCCAGCTTCACAAATGCTATGCAGAGCTGCCAAAGGTTAAACTGTATTGAGATAGCCTTTCTTGTATAGCTCCCTTGGGAAGCGAAGCTTCACCGTAGGGTGGGCATCAAATCATTGAACCTTTAAGACTAATTAGAAGGCTAACACTAGTGTCTATAATTGGATCTGCTCAAAGATTACAGCAGAGAACAGGCCAAGATTTAAGTGATTCTAATTAACTTTCATGTTTGTATGTAGTGGAGGTTCCCACTGGTCTCAGAGTTGCAATTGGTTTTGAATTTTTCTGCGTGGTAACCTCACCCTTTACAAACAAGCAGGGCCAGGCCAGGTGCTTTTCACAGGAACATGGGAGCGTGAGAGGAGAGTGCCTGCCACTTTGGACTCACACCAGAAACCTCAAATTCTTGGCTAAGAGAACTGAGGAACCCTTATCTGGCCCACAGTTCATGGGAACGAATAACATCATAGGTCTGTAATACTGACTATTTACTTTGCTTCTGCCCCCAACCATTATCCGCATAAAACAGCTGAGAAAATCCAGTTTCTTCTGAGAAAAGAAGGAGGACATTACCAGAGGCAGGAAGTCTGCACTTTCTTCTCATTTAATCAATTTATTTGTTCTCACAATGTAGCCTAGGCTATACTGGAACAGACAATCTTCCTGCCTCACCCCATCTCCCTGACTGCTTGGATTATAACTCTGAACCATTATTACCATGCATGTCTTAAAATTTACTCCAAAAAACTTTCAAAACTAAAGTAAGTATAAATGAAATTTAATTAAACCCTCAAATGCCCTGTTTATGGCGCTGACATTATAAACACTGAAGTGCACTAGTGGGAAACCTGCCCCTATTTGTTACGGCATTTTTGGTGAAAATTTGCTATGTCCCAGACAAAATGCTAGCACTTTACCCTGGGTTATTCCATTTCAACCTCCCACCAGCACAGCAGGAGAGGTTTTATTATGACTCCTAATTCATGCATAAGGAAACTGAGGCATGCAGCAAGCAAAGACAGGAGTGAGGATTTGAACCTCAGGGACAATGACTCGAGAAACTGTCAGCCAACACATAATCCTAGATTAAGCTATAAAGCATCTCAATGATAAAACATGTCAGACACACCATTTAACTAATTAAAAATCCTTCTGCAGCAGCTTTGCAAGGTAGTTCAGTAAGGTGGAGTAATCTGAACGCCCCAAAGGAGGGCTGAGTGGAGGGATGTGTTCAACTCCAGGGTGCTGAGTTAGAATGGGCTCTCAAACTCATCTCTTTCTTGGAGTGCGCAATGCATTGTACCTGCTACCTTCTTTCATTTTATGCACAGCCCCTCAAGGACTGTGTAGGAGCTCCATGAGAAACAGCCCAGATGACCTACACATGTCTTCGGCAGAACTTTCCTTGTGCCCCTTCTTGCAAATCAACACCTTTACTCTGAGACTTATTGACAGGACTCCTCCTGTCTGGCAGAAATGGTCTCTCCAAATTTTGAGTCACGTTCAACTCTTGGGGCCTGTGGGACAAGTCAGGGTATTCTTTTTTCTAGTCCTTCTTCCAGAAAAATGAAGCTAATGGTGACAGTAGTGGGTGATCCAAGCTCGAGATTTAGAATCTTACAGCAAATAAGATGCAGATAACTTTTCATCTTGCCATCTTAGACTTGATAATACTCCCTTCACAGCTGCCTGAGAGAATGGCACCTGCTGTCACCTGTGGTAGAAGCGCTCTGATGAGTGTTGGGCCCATAAAGGTGCCAGCAATCACTATCAAATACAACAATACTGAACTATAAAGCAACCTACAAAAGAGATGCAAGCAGTGAGTGTGTGGTCAGTGTGAAGTGTTTGCAGTCGTATTCTCTTTACCGCTTGCATTTTAAGATGCGGAAAAGCAAAGTGCTAGAAAGGAAAAGGTTGGCTGGAGGATCCAGGACTGTTTATTTTCAAAGCAACCTTGCCATTTCACGTTGGCACTTAGTGAGCACGCAGGGAGGCAGTTCCAGTCTGCGTTTTGCTCCATAGAGCAAGTGGTTCCTGGAGCCCGAGGTGGGGCAGCTTCTCTTGAGCGCGCTAAACAACGATGTTGATGGATCTGCACACACCTCACTGAATTTCAGGGAAGCTTGACCTGCTCACTCTTTGGGAGCCTCCAACAACTCATTCCCCAGCTCCTGCCCTAACACCATGGCGGGATGGATATGCACAAATGATTCCAGGTGCTTCTACTCAAAACAAACCAAAACACAGTTGCTGCTCTCAACATTTATGCAGAAAGACTGCTCCTTGTGTATTTGATGTGAAAGATTTTATTTTTATTAACCGTTTGGCGTAGCATCTCAAAGAGGTTTAGGGAATGCTAGAAGTTGGTGGGTGGCCAGAATTCCCATTCTTACTCCATTCTTAATGAGCTGTTGGTTCTGGGGAAACTGGTCTCTGACTGCTGCTTTTTAAATCTGCAGAAGGAGAAGCCCAAAGCAGCATTTATACCATGAGCAAAGGTCAATGCTAGGAGTCAACTGTAATGGCCTTGCTGTCACTAGACAATTGTACTGATGCTGGGCTCTAGGGGGCCTCATAATGAAATCCATATGGTGGGCAGCTAATCTCCATGTCCTGCGAAAGAAAACACGGTGACTTGCAAGGAAGTCTACTTTGTGACTGTCCAAGTTTTCCCCTTTCTGACCCTTCTGTCCTCTCTCTCTCTCTGTACTCCTCAGAGCTGTCTTGCCTGCACCTGGCCAGAAATGTCAAACAATGAATAAATAGGCCCCACTCCTACATCCACTTCACAAAGAGCTAGTAAACCAGCACTTTAGATAATGACACACATCCCTTTCTGGAAGAGACCTGTGGCATTTGGTTTTAAAGGCAGGCACTAAGAGGAGCACCTCCTGCAATGAGAGGTGGCTCCAGGGTTGCTATAGAAACAGGAGATTATGCAACTGTCCTTGCTCTTGGACTTTGAACTAGTAAAGAAAATTTATCTGAGTTTGCAGCCACCTTCCTCAAGCAGCGCCGAGCCGACATGTCAGAAGCAGCACGCATGCTAGGCTTGGGCTTGACCCAGTTACAGCTGTGTTACCAGCTGGTGAATCTTGCCTGATGTGATCAAGGCATCGGATCTCCAGTTCCGTTGGAACACTGGATCAGATTAAAGTTGTTTTGTTGTTGTTTGTTTTGTTTTGTAAAGAGGCCTGACCCTGTGGAAAAGCATGTCTAGATCACAACAAGTATATGTGAGTTCACGAACATTGATTGCATTAAGAAGCATGTGTGCTGTAGTATCGCAATAAAACAGCAGTGACTCAAGCTGACCCTTGGCAGCCACTGGATGGGGCCTCCAGTAACCTCATACTCTTGTTGGGAACAAGGTTCTGCTTCAGGTTTGCAGCGATTGTCCTAGTGCTTCAGATTCGAAAGCACTGAGGGTTAATGTCTGCTTCAGTTTTGCTTTGAAATAATTGGTATAATGACTATACTTTTAGAAAGGAATTTCAATTTAGTAAACAGAATTGAAGGGCTAGATGAAATAATTGAATATAGAAGAAATGTAGCATAGGAAAAAAATCTTTCTGCACAGTGAGCTATTGTCCCTACTTCGCTGCCATTGATCCTTCAGAAGGGTTCACTTTGAAGCCACATATGCAGATGCTGAATGACAGAAAGCTGGCTTCCAGGATTTGTCCTTTAGAAATGACTAGAATTGCTCAATTAGAAAGCTTAAAAATGTTGTTTATTTTTATTTATTGGAAAAAATCCCCAGGAGGAATTCTGAGCTCACAATGGAAAGGATCAATTACTTAACCTATACTTGTAAGAGCACAGATGTATCAGCAATAGTTACTGATTTAATCAGAGGAAGATGAACAATAGAGAAACAAAGAAAATAACATGATCTGGGGGGAAAAACGTAAAATCACCACCAGCCCCTCACTGCTGGATTTAGGTTTTAGAATACCATGGCAGGACATGAGCGTCCGATCATTTTCTATAATGTGGGCTACATATGGAGTTGGTTTCTGTCTGTGCTATAGTCATCTGGGACAGAATGAGTCATATCTGCTTAATATTCTATATTAATTGTTAAAATGTCAGCTCCTTGGTAATTTCATAAATAAAATCTCATCCTGCAATCTGTAAGCTAACCAGAAAAATAAAAAACCAGAGCCATCCTTCCTCAAGCAGTGATGTAAGATGCTGAGATACAGTAATGGGTGAGGAGATGCTTTTAAGCAGGTACAATTCGTGGACTCCCATGAGTTAAAGACCACCCTTTTCTAGCATGGTTCCCTGACCTTTTGCTGCTTGCTGTGATTTGAATATTGTTTGTGTGTGCTCCCCCCCCCCGCCCCGCCCCAGACTTCAGGAGCTGCAGTTTAATCTCCATTCTGGGTTATTCAAGAGTACAAACTTAATCTGACAATGGTGTATAGAGATGGGGTCATTGGTAAGTAAATCAGACTAGCTGAGTCATCAGAGTGAAGCCCTGTGGTGGAATCCTAACAACTTAATAAGGGAGAGAGATGGGAGGATATGCATGCATGCTCCTCCCTGTGCCTTGTCACGTGACTCATTGTGCTACTTTGCTACTCTGCCAGCAAGAAGGCTATCATTAGATGTAGCTGCTTAATCTAGGACTTCTAGGACTGAGATCCCAAATAAACATCATTATAATGCACCCACATTGTTCTATGTTACTTGGCAACAGAGAACAAGCTAATAAACCAACCACCCCTACCTTGGGGACAGGAAGGCATTGTCATCCCTATTATCATGGTCTTTGCTCTGGTCTCAAGAGTAGAGATCTAGATCTCATCGGGATTTGACCTCACCAATTGTTATGGACTCAGAAACAGTTGCCATAGAACGCAAACGAGTACAACCAAACCGGGAATTATTTTGTCCCCTCCCCTCTGCTCTTCCTCCCCAACCAACTGGCACGAGCCCCAGAGTGTTCTCCGCTTCCTACCTGTTGAACAGTCGGGGCCCTGGTAGCCTTCCTCACAGACGCAGAGTCCCTCCTGGCAGTGTCCTCGCCCACTGCAGGCATTCAGACACCGGCGCTGGCTGCAGTCTTCCCCAGCATAGCCCTCTTGGCACAGGCACGTACCGTTGGCGCACTGCCCCTTCCCTGAACAGTCCTCGGGGCACCGCAGCTCCCTGCAGTCCTCGCCTGTGTAGGGCTCTTCACAGACACATTCTCCATCCACGCAGAGCCCCCGGGAGCTGCAGTCTGTTGGGCACCGCAGCTCAGAGCAGTCATCGCCACTGTATTCACTGTCGCAAATGCACTGGCCGTCGACACACACTCCCCGACTGGAGCAGCCCAGTGGGCAGTAGGGCTCTGAGCAGTTCTTGCCAAACCAGCCTTCATTACAGATGCAGCCACAGGACTCAAAGCTAAAGTTGCCATGGCCGCTGCAGTGAGGGACATAGTCCAGTTGTCCTAGAATGGCCAAGGAGAAGGTCAAAGGGCAGCAGTGGCCTCTCATAAACATCGTACTGGGGAGGGTTGAACCTATCCTCATCCCTTGATCACATTGGTACTGCTGAGAGTTAACTACAACATAGTTTGGTACAAATTCAATGTAATAAATGTTTTCACGTAATGCGATTGTCTATGCCTAACACCGCACTGAAGGTGAAGATGGGTAAGACCTGGGCCATTGTCCTCTTTCAGATCACCTGCAGAGCAGGTTAGGTTCCCTAGAAGCTGATAAGAACACTTGTTAAAAAGTGTTCCCAAGCCAGGCGGTAGTGGCGCACACATTTAATCCCAGCACTCGGGAGTCAGAGACAGGTGGATCTCTGTGAGTTTGAGGTCAACCTAGTCTACAAGAGCTAGTTCCAGGCTAGGCTCCAAAGCTACAGAGAAAGCCTGTCTCAAAAAAACAAAAGCAACAACAGCAATAAAAACGTGTTCCCAGAAGAAACTTGCCATAGTGGGTTGGATGAGGGGATCAGCAAAGAGTGTGGATGAACCAGAATGTAACTATGCAAAGTCCCAGGAAGAGTGACCCAGATTCCTGCGGTATTCTAGAACCAGTGTGAGCCAAACTTGCTCATGGGCTGAGTTCCTTCTCTGAGCACATGCAAGTTTTAGGGCCTTCTATGTCTTTGAGCACACCGAGTCTTCTGAAAGGCTAAGGTCACCCCTCTGACAGAGATGTCCAGGTGTCAGGGATGAGAGGGATTGGAAGGATGTAGGCCAGGCACTGGACCAGCTGTGCAGATGGAAGTTACAGGTGTTACAGACCTGTCCCATCTTCTCCCTTCCTCCACTGGCTTCTGCACACTTATCAACCCCACGGCTTCTTCAAAGACTTCCCGAAGCATGGTTTCAGTTGCTGTCTGCTAGGATACCTTCAGGATTTCATGCATATATCTTGCCCCAGCCTTTTTGCATAAAGTTTTATGGCTAAATAATAAAGTCTAAGTTCAATCTAGTAAATTCTGCGTCGTGTGGTCCACATTGTCTGGAAAATATACCACACTGACATTGCTTAACATAGCTTACCCTAATAGGTTTTTCCTAATCAGCCAATGATCTGATTGGCAAGCTGGTGGATTCTGCAGCAGGAGAGACCATACTCATGAAAACCTATGGCTTTTTCTTGTTTTTAAACTTCACCAAAAGAAATGAACCAACCTATCAGGACTCACTAAAGGACAGGAAGGAACATGGACATCTTGATTTCCTTGTCTAGTCATCAATTGCTTGTCTATAAGCTGAGGAAATTCTACAAAATGTTTCATTGGTCAGATTGGCCCTTATCTTACTACGACTCTGGGAGAATGGATCTCATCTCTTAAGCTATGGGCCTCGGGTTTGATAAAATTTCCCTCCACTTTCAGCTTGAACTATCGGATCGTACAGAGGTGAACACTTGCACCCAAGATAGCATGATGGTTGTTCTGTGTCATCCAGGGCCACAACTACATGAGTCTGAGGGATCCTCTGGATGGAGAAAGCTGGGCATAAGACTGACTGGGGGCAGCTAACGGTCGTCCTTACTCATGAGACGCTTACTAGGAGTCAGGCTCTCATCCGACTAGGTGAGTTAATAGTTGATAGCTCCTTATGGCTCTAGTCTGTCACAGTTTGTAGATGAGGAAGGAGAGGCATGGGCTATGTAACTTGCTTAGATCACAAGCCAGGGGTGGCAGAGAAGATCTGAAGTCGAAGTCTGACTTTGAAGTCTTGATCGCATCTTACAGTAAGGAGCAGATGAACAAAGACAGAAACAAATCTTCTGAATGTTCAGCCTTCTGGAGAACAGGGAAAGGTGGTGTATGTGTGTGTGTGTGTGTGTGTGTGTGTGTGTATGTGTGTGCACGTGTGAATGCACATGCCTATATTTATGGAGTAGGTCAGGATAAAACTCCCATGTTGATGGAGGAGAGGGGAACAGGTCACCTGAGACCTTAATGACTTCCATTTGCTCAGAGGGGAGCAAGGGCTGCGAGTGAACGGGCAGAGCACTGCATGCCCTAGTCAGTCAGGTTAACTTGAACGGATATCAACTCAACAGCCTGTGAAAAGCAAAGATGAATGAAGACAGACATCAAATTCCCTGCCTGCTATCAAAGCTGCTGTGTTGAGCCGATGTACCATTACCTGACTCATCCCTCCAAAAATCAGGTTAATATATTTCAAACTAGGTAAGCAGTGTTGAGAATCCGTGAACCGAATCCCCAGGGAATGGCTGCATTTAGATCTTACAGATGACACATTAACCGAGAGCTATATACCGGACACTTTTTTCTCTTTGACCCTGTGAAGAGATGCTGGGTTTTGCTTCCTCTCATCCCACCTCCCTCTCTGCTCAGCTCTCTCCTTCCCCACCAGGGACCAGGCTGCAAGTGCTTCAAACTCTACCTGTGGCCGCACTTTCCTGACAGCAGTTGGTGCTGCACTGATCTCGCAGCAACGATACCTCCCTCTCCAGCATCTCGATCCGGCTTAGGAGCTCCTGCAGCACCTGGGTAGAACTGGCACACGGGCAGGCTTTTTTAGGGAGGTTGATCTTGTGGGTAAAGGTGACCTGGCTTTCGTGATCTGAGGTTTGGCCTATGTATTCTGCCAGAGTATCATCTTCAGCGCTCACTTCCTGTTCAGCTGAGGCTTCCAGCCCTGAGGAGCAGAGGCTCTCCACTGGGACATTGATGTTATACACATGGTTGAAGACCATAGGCTGTTCCTTGCTGGACGTGTTGTAGCTGGAAGCACCTCCTTCCTCCTCCACAGTTTGTCTCTGGCCCCTTTCTGTGGTCACCTCCAGCCGACACTCAGAAGGTTTGAGCATGGATCCCAGGAGGATCAGGTTTACACCGATGAGCATGTTCTTCAAGACCACCGTTTCCCCGTCGACCCCCATCCTCTCAGCCAGGGCTTGGTTCAAGAGCTCCCCGTAGTAGCCGGCATGGAGTAATAGGAATCTGCAAGAGGAAGCAAGGGGCAAAGGCTCAGCTGGCCTCTGAAACCTGTACCTGGGCACCGTGGCTCTCACTCTACAAAGCCAGAACATACGTAGATAGAAGTTCTCTGGGGCTGTGGAGAAAACTGGGAAGAAATGGTGGCTCTAAGTCAGAAAGCTGCGCCTTTGTTCTTTCGAAGACTGGATTCTTAATAATGGGTAGTACCTCTACATAAGGGTATTGTTATGGCCCCCTCTCAAAGCTTGTTGACAGATGAAGGGTATTTGAGAAGTATTTGGATCATAAGGGTTTTGATTTCATCAATAGATTAATCCATTGATGGATCTGTATATTCACAGCATTGCATGTTAGAAGGAGCAGGCTGCTAGAGACATACCTTTGAAGTGTTGTGGTGATTTAAATAAGAACAGTTTCCATATTTGAATGATTAGTCACCAGGGAGTGGGCTATTTGAAAGGATTAGAAGGATTAGGAAGTCTGGCCTTGTTGGAGGTATTTAGAACCCTGCCCTTAGGGAGCCAAGCAACAGCCCCTCCCCTGGAGTTGCCTCATTCCAGACTCCACCCCTGAGAAAGCCCACCATCTGTGGCCCTTCCTCTCCTGGAGATGCCCATGCCTACCAGCTATTTAAATTTAAGACCCAGCCCATAGGTTGGCCATATGGACTCCCGTGTTCTATCGCCCACCTTCCTGTGGGTCACCTGGGAGTGCTCTGCTTTGCTTGCCTTGTTTATTAAATCTGGACTTATTAATTCTATTTGATTTGCTTATTGCATCAGCAGCAGAGGTATCCAGCAACCAGGGATCTAATACTTAAGAGGTGGAAGTATGGGTTTGGGCTTTGAGGTTTTAAAAGCCCACTCCAGGCCCAGAGTCTTTCTCTGTCTCTGCCTATGGATCAGGATGTAGCTCTCAGCTACAGCTCCAGCACCTGCCTGCATGCAGGCCACCATGTTCCCCACCACAATAATAATAAAATAAACCTCTGGAACTGTGAGCAAGCCCCCAACTAAATGCTTTCTTGTGTAAGAGTTTCCTTAGTCATCGTATCTCTTCACAGAAATAGAGCAGTGGCTAACACAGGCGTATATCTTATCCCGAGTCTTTTCTGTCTTCTCCCTGCTTCCCAGCCACCATGAGGTCAGCAACTTTGCCCTGTCACTTCTGCCACAATGGACTGAAACCTTTGAAATCACAAAACAAAAAAGTCCTTTTTCCCTGAGGGTTATATTTCTTTCTTTATTTATTTTTTGTCTTTTGTTACAGCACTGAAATGCCAGCCTCGTGTCACCATTTAGGCACAGGACCCAATAGTCTGTCTCCACAGTGCACAAGGAACTTCTAGAACATGGCAGGAGTGTTGGCTCTGTGAACAGCCTCTTCCAGTGAGACAAGCTCAAAGTTGTTTTTCACTTCTAAAGGAAAATTAGGATGAAGCAGACCACAGAAACTTAGGGGCGCTCCAATGTCTCCTCAGATATTTATTATGAAGGGGCTTCACTGGGCATGTCAAATAACTGTTCATCAGCTCCTTTAAGCTCACCTATTCAATAGAGGTTGACTTTACAGTAACCAACCAGCCAAATAATGTAGTTCCAGGCAGTTTGTGATTGTTAATTATCCTTGGGTACATTTGTGATTTATCTGGGATGATGTGAGCCAAGCTTTGTTTAAATCTTCTCATTAATATAGTCCCCGTGCTCTGTGACCACAGGGTGCCTTTCTTCTGAGGTCCTGTTTAAATAGCTAAAATAATGAATTAGCTACTCCGTTGGTTACCTAGTCACCAAGAACCATGCAGTATAATAAATTCACAGTAATAAAAATCAGTTTTACAAAAATTATATTTCCTTTCTATTCCCTGTGTAAAAGAAAAAAAAGAGACCTAGACACTTCAGTTCTTAAATAAAGTCAGAGCTACTAAGAAGATTAAGGACTAAGGAACCAAGTAGCTGAAATTGTGAGCCTGAGAGGAAGGTGACAAATGTCAGTTGATGGTCACCGGCTGTGCACAGGGCACAGATGGTGCTGGGCTCTCACACATGATCTTGTCTCACCCCTAGGAGAATCCTGAGATGGTCCTCATCTCACCAGAACAGTTTCCGCTTGAAATAGGAAAGCTTGCCAGGCTGATCCTAAACCTGTGCTCTTAACAGCTATGCTTCAGTGCCTTGTTCAAACCTGGGGTTGGCAGCACACGCTTTCAATGCTAGTATATGAGAAGTAGAGGAGGAAGAAGATTAGGGGTTCAGGGCCAGACTCCCCCAGATAGCAAGTTTAACCAGGGATACATGAGACTATGTTTTTATTTTTTGTTTTTAAAGCAAATGTTCACTTTTTTTTCTTGTTATTGGTGGAAACTGTACATTCTAGAACTTTCTCAGGAATACTAAAGTTAGAAAATTTGCTGGGGTGTGGTTTCTTTTTCCTCCATGAACATTCTTCTCTCACACGTCCTTCCTGTTCCCTCATACATTCCCCAAATACAGGTTGAATTGCCTGTCTCCTCACTCTTCAGTGAGCACCCTTAAAGTGCTGGCCACACTAGACCATGGATTCCCTACACCTGATTTCCCCACCTGGCTTGCTAAGTTGTTTTGAGGCAGACCGTGTATTATCTGCCACATATGGCTGCGTGTTTAGCACATGAAAGTGCTAAGTATTTGGTTGAATGAATGGATGGGCAGATGCATAAAAGACTGAATAAATCGATGATTTAATGAGTAAATGCTCAGTGGGCAAAAGGTTGAATCATTCTCCAATTCATTTAATCTCTCTCCATTAACCCTAAGTTACTTACTGTTCTCTTCAATTTCAACTCTGGACAATGTCTAAGACTTCATTGAATTAGGAATAACTGGTATTAGTGACTAGCATGAAATCATATCTTATTACTCAGCTCTTATAGCATATATTACATTACTTTCTGTCCCTGTTTCTGATATTGAGAGGAAGTAGGACAGACCAGAGCTGCTGAGATCGCCAGGCTGTCTGGGATCAAACCTCATCCCCAAAAATGTTTATCTATGGGAGGACCACTTAACCTCTCTGTCAGCTTTGCTGTCTGTGAAGTGGAGATAAATAATGGTGCCAACTTTATAGGGTTAGAGTGATGATTCTACCATTATCTATATAATACTTTTTAAGTACCTAGCATTGATTGAAGTAAATAAATACTGTTTTCATACCATTTGGTTCTTCTTCTATTTAAAGACTATCCTGAATTTGCAGAGGCATGTAAAATGTCTTACTATTTGGCATCAGGAAATCCCAGCTTATAGTTTATCCTTGAACCACAATAATGAAGCTCCAGAAATATTATGGGAGATGACAACTCGTGGCCACATCTAGATAAGGTACATCCACCTTGAGACTAGATCGACTGACATGTCTAAACTAAATTGACCATAGCTGTAAGCTCTTGCTACGCCCCTTGTATCTGAGACTGGACTTGGCTTCCCACTTTGAGTTGCTCCAGTCATTACACTATTAGATTTCACTTCTGTGCTTCTGCCATGGCAACACCCTCGTGGTGGCTCTGGCAACAGCCCTTCATACATACACAAGACCTTGCTCTCTTTATTAAACTAACTTTGTTTACCTGCTTCATAGTGATATTGCTGAATAATGTTTTCTTATGGCAGGTGTGAAATTGTTATATAATACTCTAAAGCACTTAATATAGATTTTTTGACCAATTGTAGATAGGAAATAAATAAAACAATAAAGGATATCATAAAAGAAAAGGAGGACCAGCAACAGGGCAATTATGCGGGAGAAAGATGTTAGGTTCTATATGTATGTCTAAAACAACTACTAAAAATTAGAGAAATGGAAAGTTAGAGTTTTATATGAGAAACTTGGTCAATAATTCAGTCAATAACTAACCTTATGTAAGTAACTCAACCATGTAATTTTTGTAAGACCAGATTCTTTTTTTTTAACTTATGCTTTATTAATTGAAATACAGAGTGAAAAATAAACAAGGGGCCTGTCTGTCCTTACAGCTCCAACAATTGATCATTTTGTTCAGAGAGGTAAGAACATGGGAGGCTCCCATGTTATTTTTCACTCATTTATTTGATAGATATTTATTAAGTAGCTATTACTGCCCTGTGTTTATGGAAAACACATCCATATGTATGGATTTGGAAGGGTGGGATATAAGGGAATAGAGTAAATGAATACTGAGCTTAATATCATATATACAAATAAGTTACTTGATATTTGTCATGTGGTAATATCATATGATACCTGTGTCTGTGTTATTTTCAGTTAGGAATGGATCACCATTGTGGAGGAAAAAAAATCAATGAACAGAGTTTTTTTGAGTTAAGAAGGCAAGAAGAGTTCATGGTCATCTTTATAGAGTGGTATCCTTAAAGGTTTGTCTGATCGGATCACAGTTGAAACCTGAGATCTTGAGAAGAGTGGGATAGAGTGTCTAGCAAAAGAGACATGGTGCAACCATGGGGAATATAAAATGCCGGGGTTCTGGAGCAGGGGTGGTCTTTGGGGATCTGTGTAATAAGGTGTCTGGGGTGGGATGAGGGAGTAGACGTGGGAAAGTCCTGCAAAACACAGACAGGACTTGGTGTCTCACTGCAGAGAATGGTCACTGTTGTCAAATGCTTCCCGTGTCACCTGCTCCCATTCCTTGAGAAACTCGCAGTCTCAGAGAGAAGGAAAACACAAATATGCCAGTGTATGATGGTGACCATGACTAAGGAACACGCTAGCTGTCCAGAGAAGATAGTTATAGGGCAGCTCTGTAGCAGGGAAAGTGACCTAGAGAAGGTTGGGACTCTTGCTGACAACAGAAATTGTGCTGTTTGCCACGTATTTCTGACTTGGCTGTCAGGCACACAATAGGACCAGATTTTCTAACCTTCCTTTGTGTATGTGAGACCATATCTCTAGTTCTGTCCAGCGAATCATGAAAGGAAATGCTGAGTGTCCCCTCCAGGCTGAGGCATCCAGATGCTCAGAGGACTTGCCAG